GCCTTGCGCTGCGGGTTGGCCACCCCTCCGCACACCTCTTGAAATGCTCCCATATGACCGGGTGTCTTACATAGCCTCTCCTGAGGAAGCCCTACTCACTGCCTTCACGTGGCGGAGGTGTTTTTCACCAAAGTGAGAGGGCGAAAGCGGATGCCCGGCGCTCTTCACCGGGTTGACTGTCCATTGGATGACAGTCTAGGGGAGATGGCTAAACCCTGATTCCAAACCTCCAACGACTAGCGTATGAAGATCACTGGAGCTCACCGGCAGACGTATGGACAAAGGGCTTGTTGGATGTCCTGGATGTCTGGCCCCATTCAAAAAGGCGTATGAACCGAACTCCGGTCACCGGCTGCCAATGGATAGTGGACTCCCTACTCCACTCCTACTGCCTTGTAGGTCACACTTGGTTGTGTAAAGGCTAGAGCTGCACTCTCCAACAAAAGGCCGAGCGATTCTGGGGACATCACTCGTACCAAATTCCCATGAAACTTGATGAACTCTCTTACAAACGACGCCGCGCCTGGGCAGCGATGATTCGAGATGTTCATGAAGCCGGTTCATCCTCCCTTAGGAGATAGCCGAAGTAAAGTACAGTAAGTAAGAATGAATCAAAGTGATAATGGGGATCATAAAAGGTGAAATGACCACTTTTCTTTTTTTCAAAAGTGAATAACCTTCAGAATGCTTTTTTAATACTATGCGAAGATATCTCATTTATAAAAAGCATACGTGGAATATTTCTTCGACACCCACACCCACACACCCCACCCCCACCAAACACACATACACATACAAAGAGAGATGCGAAGAGAATTCACTTAACAGATCCATAATCAGAATTGATCTAATGCATTTCTAATGTAGTTAAGTGATTATTATTTGCCTTGCGCGAGTGAATATATTCTACATAAAGAGACTGAGAGAGAGAGAGAGACTGAGGAACGCTGCTTCACAAAGGAAGATAACAGTCATAAATACATATATGACGCGGACGATGATAGTGATAACGTTGTTGATAATAAGCACACATTGGGGAAATCTGAAGATATCTATAGAAATCCTGTCAAATGATGACAAGGGGGAAGGAGGGGTATGGGGAACTGGAATGCTGAGGTGTCCAGTGAGTGGGTGGGTGGGTGCGTGGGTGGAAGGGGTCAATAGGATGGAAAATTATTTAAGACACGTGACTTATACTACTAATACTAATACTACTAATACTGACGGCCACTTTTAGATAACAGTGGCAAAACAATGAAGCACAGCACAGAACAGAACAGAAAATCACAACCCAGTACACAATACACCCCATCCATAATATATGAATGAAGAATATTCATCATTGTTTTTTATAGAAATATCTTTTCTCTATGTAAGGAGGAAACGAATAATTGAGACAGATCAGTAGGAAATCAGAGACACATAGACAAAGAGAGGGAGAGAGAGTGCGCGCGCACGCGAGTGTGTATATGTGTGTGTGCTTATGCCAGAGAGACAAACAGAGAGGAATAATTTGCTTCCGTTTTCGGTAGCTGTATACCCTTTATTTTTTATTTATTTTTCAAAGAGGACTAAAAAAGGTGTCTGATTCACATTCATCCATTAAAATGCATTTTTGATTCCAATAAAATGATGAAGTTCCCCTCTTCTCTCTCTCGCTTTTCTGTTGAACAAAGAAGCAAGAATATTCCATTATCTACAATATATATATATATATATATAAATACATAGATGGATAAAGCATTAGAGGTTTAAAAGAAAATTGATCATATGTAGAGAATACAGACACCAGCCGACAAACAAGGTAAGGCGCCTAAATCAAGTATTTTTGGATCAGGAAGAGAAAATGAATGACCTACATTGACTAAGATGAAAAATGTGAATTAAAAAGGAAAGAGAGCGAGAGAGCGAGATAGAGACGTACAATTTATACTACAATATGCATGAAGAAAGGAGTAAAACTGAGTAGCTGTCAGAAGGAATTTTAGAGTGCTTTTCTTTTTTTCATTAACTATCATGACACAAAAGCACACACATGCACACACACAAACAAACTGGGTGTATTTTAAAAAAAAAGGAAACCTAACTGGTCAGTAGTAGACAAAAGTACATCGGCGGTTCAATCAACTTGTCAAGTTCTCTTTTATTTATTTATTTACTTTTAAATGTATAAGATACCTGTATTATTTATTGTAAATAATAAAGAAACATTAGGATACATTTGACTTGATAGATCAAGAAAGTAGTAGTAACAGAAGTCCAACTGCTTTTAGGTGATTCACATAATGATGAAGAGGTTAAAAAAAGCAGCTCTCATTTTTCAGTCGGTCGGTCAGTCGGTTTTCGACATAGAACTTTGCACATATGTGCAGCAGTTCAAGTCGCCACACTCCCTCCATGTAGCACACAAAGCAAGAGAAGAAATGCATAATAGAGACAGTAAACAGAGGTGTGAGACAAAGGAATAGTAATAACGGAGAACAAAACAGTTTCATTGGAAATCATAAGTCACAAGGACTGGATGCATCTGCAACAGCCATTGAGAACGATTTTGAGTCATGTCACCAATTGTTTTCAACCATTGGTTTTTACCATCCCGAGGACCCCGACAAGGAGGCCAGTCTACACATTCCTACGTGGCTTAAACTAACTGTTGTGGATTTCATTGACTGGTGGAGCCGTGTTTTGGTTTGACCGCCGCTAGCTCTTTTCCAGCCTGGCCCTATATCAGCTAACATTGCCCGTCGAGGAAGGCGATGACTAGGCAGGCATACGTAACACATGTCCTAACCATCTCAGTCGATGTAATTTCACAGCCTCGTCTGTTGATTTCCCCGCCTTACCTAGCACTCGACCAATGCCTAACCTGAATATTGCTCACCTTATTATACCACTTCACACGGCAGATAGAACGCAGACACCTATGATCGAAGACAGCTAATCTTTTCATGTCTTCTGCTCTCAGTGGCCAGGTCTCACAGACATAAAGGAGGACGGAGCGGACTGATGAGCAGTGCACACGCCCTTTGGTCGATAGTCGGATATCGCGTCTATGCCAGAGACGGCATAAACTGGCATATGCGAAATTAGCCCTCTGTATCCATTCTGAGATTTCGTCGGAGATCAACCCGTTGGCACTGGCTGATGGTACTTCCCAAGTAAGTGAAGCGATCAACGTGCTCTACCACTTCACTTCCTATTTCTAATCTAAGGGTCGGTGAAGTCCAATCCTGCAACATCATCTTACATTTTACAGGGGCAAATCGCATGCCAAACATTCTTAGATTGCAGCTCAAGGTGTTCAATAGACTCTGCATTTTGTCAGAGTCCTCGCCTTAAAGGACTATGTCGTCTGCATATTCTAAGTCAACGAGATTATTCCCTGGTAGCAAGTCAATCCCTGAGTCGCTGAAGTGTGTTAGGGTTAAGTCCATTAGTACATCTATGATGAAGTTGAATAGGAATAGGGATAATGGGCATCCTTGACGGACGCCACTAGTCGCCACCACTTCAGACGACAACTCGCCACAAGCCCTCACCTGGCTGCATGAGTACGAGTAGAGTGTTTTAATCAGTGCAATGTATTTTCTCGACATTCCCTTTACAGCCAAGCATCGCCAGAGAACCTCCCGGTCGACAGAATCGAATTCCGCCTTTAGGTTAAGAAATATAGTGATTGTTGGACGCCGGTAGGAATGCCAATGTTCTAGAATCTGTCGAAGGGTGAAGATATGACCAATACACCCTCTACCTGGCCTAAAACCTGCCTGGTTTTCTCGTGTTCGTGCGTCCCGAGCACCACTTAGTCTACGTAGTATTATTGAGCCTAGGATTTTAGATACTATATTAGTCAAGCTAATCCCTCTGTGATTGTCACAAGAAGACTTGTCTCCCTTCATGTATATCGGGATGATCAGTGACTTACACCAACCCGATGGGACTTCCTCTGATTCCCAGATGCTGCCTAGAACCTCAGTTAACGCAGACAGTAAACTGTCTCCACCGTACTTTTCAGTGGTGAAATGCTCCTCAACAACGCACGTAGTCCGAGAAGTTCAATTCTCTCTTAGCCTGGAATCAGCCTGGTAAAGAGAGAAGAAACAAAAACCCCGCCACTACTTAAACTTTAGAGCTTAGACTTGAAGACATCGCCTCAGAATGGAGAAGAGCGAAGAAAAATAGTGGACACACTACTCAGTAGTGTTTGCATTTGTAATGATAATCACATAAACAGGTGGATTTCGACGCTCAACTTGTAGGTTGATGGAGGACTACTCCTACTATTCTTGGTAGCCTCTGGTTTGAATTCTAATTCATCTTCGATTATAACCCATTGACATTACCAATAACAGTCTTCTATCTCAAGTCATTTTTATTGCCTTATTGCATAACGCTTTCTTGACTATCACTCATCTTGACCTACATCACTTTTATTATCTTGCTATCCTCCCTACTGTGAATACTATAAACCCATATGATCAGTTGCACTCATAATGATTTCTTCCGAATTTCTACTTGCTCTCTCTCTCCCTATATTTTCTACCTATGTTTGTGGGTAGCAACTTGAATTTCCCTACTTCTATGCCGCAAAAATGTTTTCTATGTTGAAAGTCATTCACTGACATTCCATCAAACTAAATTCTACCGATTGTTATCACTATAACGGGTTCTAGCAAAAAGGTTGGCGGAGCGGGGAAGGAGCTTTGCGTGTCGATGGGGTGCGGCGGTAAAATTTTTGCCAACCATACGTATAATCTGAGATCCGAGACCCGACCGAAGAACTCCTAAACCGGAGTAGTAAGCACAGGGTAAAGAGAGAAGGTTCGGTGTGTCAGGTTGGCAACATCTCATCACTGTTATTGAAACTTTAGAGCTTTAGCTTGAAGCCCCTTTGGTTCCACTCAGAAGGTAAAAGATTGAAATAGTAAGAAAAATATAATCCCTTCACTCTGAACTGATACACATAGAGTATAAACTAAAATGAATTACATTCAACTTACTTTCACTGGCGATAGCATTATTCTTCATATGTATTGTAGGCGGACTAATTAACAAATGATCCACTGGTGGTTTTGAATTCAGAAAATAAACGGAAGCATTTTCGAAAGCCTGAAACCAAAACAGGAAACAGTAATATAACATATTATATATAAAGTTACAAGAATAAACTCAAAGAACGTTTCATGATGGTAAGCTTAAGCTTATATTTTCCGCACAAACGGTTATGCTTCCTCAAGTGAAAGATGAAGTAACTAGACTAGTTATCCCTAATTGTTTCTATCAGTTCACCTAGTCCTGTGCAGCCAGTTATACTGTCAATTAGTTACCCTAGGAACCTAATTTTTCGTGCTCGGGAACACCTACCAGTCAGGAGAAAAAAAGGTGTTGTTAAAACCGTCAACAGTTCTACAGCATATCACCTCGTCCAAACGGGCCACAAAGCTGACTAGCATTGAAGAGTATTTCTCTATCATCGTCTATTGGGTATCGGATAAATTAGCAAAGACCTCAGATATCGAATACTCGAAACACCAGTGGCCACTGCAATTAGCTTAAATTATCCAGAGTTCTGCGTGCAATTATCGCACATACTGGTCAGCTGGGAAACCTGTGAATTCCCAAATTCTCTGTGTTACCACTTCCCTTAATCTATCTGATATGCCGCACCCCAAATATTCATCAACCTTATTCAACAGCTGTACGACAACGGCACATGTCAAGTGATCCAAAACGGAAAACTCAGCGAAGCGTTTGGAGTAAACACAGGAGTCAGACAAGGGTGCTTATTATCACCAATGATATTCCTAATTGTGGTGGACTGGATTATGCGTCAGACAGTGGGAAACGAGAAGACAGGGATATCCTGGACCGACGTGAAGAACCTAGAAGACCTGGATTTCGCGCGTGGATGATTTATGTTTGATGTCACACAAAATCGAAGACTTACAAGCGAAAACCGACAAACTGGTCGAAGAAGCAGCCAGAGAAGACAGGACTCCAGGTGAACATAGACAAGACGGAGGTTATCAAAATAAACAACCAACAACAACAGCAACATCCAGCACCAATCACCATCAACGGGAGGGATTTGAAAGAGGTTACTTCTTTCACTTATCTAGGGAGCATTGTCTCAACTACAGGCAGAAGGAACGGACGACGATGTCAAATCGACAATCGGGAAGGCGAGAAACACATTCATCAACCTGAAACCAATCTGGAAATCTTCGTCACTCAGCTTGCATCAACAACAAAGTGATTCGGATTTTCAATACAAACGTCAATTCACTTCTTCTATACAGATCAGAAACTTGATGGGTCACAAAGAATATTTCCAACAGCCTGTTGCAGACCTTTATCAACAACTGTCTTCGCTGGCTCTATACTGAAGATCAGATGCCTGGAAAGAATCACAAACAAGAAACTATGGGAACAAACAAAACAAGAACCAATCGCTCAACAAATATGCAGGAGAAAGTGGAGATGGATTGGACACTCGTTGAGGAGGCCGCTGCGGGGTGACATCGCGCGTCAGGCCAACGCTCGAGTGGAACCCGAAATGGAAGCGGCGAGTGGGACGTCGAAGGGTGACATGGAGGAGATCGTCTGAAGAGGAACTGAAACAGTATGGATTAACATGGATGCAAGTGAAAAGTACAGCAGAAGACAGAAGCAAGTGGAGGCGTGCAGTTGAAGCCCTATGTTCCACTAGGAACCCCAGGGAACAATAATAATAATCTGATATGCGATCAATATAGTGTTAGTTTAAAGTATATTATCTCTCTGTCTCTCTCTTACTGATGCTTTTGAAATGTGAACATTCGATACTACTGATTGTTTCACTGTAATTTAAAACAGCATTAATGTTATTTAATTCAGTATTTTAGATTTTCCCGTCGATTGATTGGACCGAAGTGCTCCTCGGTCTCAGGTTGACATGTATGGGTTCAAGCTTCGGCGGAAACACATCATCACAGTCACTGAGGAATTCAGGCAAATCCAGATGATGAGTCCCAAATAGGACGAAATGCGTGTTATCCTGGATTCCACTGCTAGTCACCTCCCACCAATTAGCAGCATTAATGTTGTTAATAAGAATATTTCTTTAGTGATTATGACCGCAATAATGTAGAACCTGATGAAGAATAAGAAGAAGAGGTTTATTGAAAAGAATTTTCTTTTTCTTTCTATTTCCTTGAAATGATCGGTTTTGAATCTCTCTCATTAATTCCTCTTAATTGGATCAGTCCTCGTACGCAGGCTTCGGCCATGCCTTAAAGGCAGTATGCTTATTTAGGACTGGTCAGTTGGTCGTAACACCTGCAGTCCAATTGTGGTGAGAGCTGTCTACTAGCCAAATTGGTAGACAGAAATTGACGTCAATGTTTACGTTCCCAAGATTTGTCGTGAGAAAATATGAACAAAGACTGCTTCAAAACCGACCAGAGCTGACTTTGCGTAGGCGGATACAGTTAACATATAGATGATCTGACATTCAAGTAACAGTCACAAATAGATGAAAGATTAACTTTCAGTGAGAAACAACCAATCAGAAGACTGTGTTTGTTTGCTTAACTAATCTATAATAATGTACATGAAAATATATAAATATGCTTTGATTTCCTTAATAAGGGAACTGTTGCCTGGCCCTTGTCTTCTGTTGTTACACAATGATTGAGTGACGACATTCCCACTAAGATTCAAATCGTAGAGTTGGATTATGCCTTGGTGTTTGAAACAATGAGTATTGAATTTGAATTTCACTAAGAAACAGGTCACTACTCACAGGATTGGGTAGGTACATCCATCCAGATGATGAGTCTTAACTCGCAAGAAATGAGAGTACTGGATTCCACTGGTATCTGCCTTAATAATCAAAATGTTTCTATTCCTAATTACTATCGGATAGCACTCTGAAGAATATTCTTGGAATGGAATTTTACGGAACAGTTCGGTATCTCCTATCAGGTTCAACATGTTGTACGATCAAACCACACAGAAGATTGATCTGATGTGTACTAGCGACTGGTTCTACATTCAGGCAGTTACCTGAGGTTCTAGTGGGAAGCTGTGACCAGTAGGGCGCAGCAGGTCGGCTGGTGTGAGGACAAATACTCGCCGAAGACATTGGCTAGTGGTCGCGTTATGTCGTGAATTGGCTGGCAGAAGTTAGAATTCATGGACTGGCCATTGGATTGGGTCCCAGTGGATGCTTAGTGGTCTACGAGCTCACTAACCTTACAACCAGAAGGTCGTGGGTTTGAACCCCTGTGGCGAGCGTGCATTGGTGAAGACTGCCAAACTAGTCTGACGAAAGTCTGTTGTCCAGTACTCCCTGGCAGGTTTCCCAATGATTCTCTAACTGATGTCAGCTCATGATGAAATCTTCCAACAGATCAAACAATACTTGGTAATTACTAAAAAATTTTCACAAACATTCTAGTAATTATATCACGTTCCTATTTCAAGCCTTCCTGTCTGGAATCTTTTATATTCATCATGAATTCTTCATGATTACAGCTTTACAAGAAAGTGAATTGAAGTATTCTTCAAGAAAATCACAGATCTGAAGTCGGGAAAGCATTCACAACACAATCTGTCAAGAAAAACTTGCCATCATTTTTATGGAATGTAAAGCATTAAATCTAGCGGCCTATTTGAAACACTGGCTACCTGAATTTTCCATCTTCAACACAATGCATGATCATACTTTCTCTAACTCTTGAACCATTTAGTTTCGCGTGCACTTCGGATTGTGAGGGCGATTATTACTTCCCGGCTGCACACACCGTGGAAGTTGGTTGCGTGACCGCAGAGCCCAGGGGACAACTGCTTGAGGCCGGTCACACACGGCCTGTTTTTGTTTGTTGTTTTTCATTTGATGTGTCTCAGTAGCGTATTTATCACTTCTGCCCTGTGACACGGCAGCAGAAAGCGCGGTCGTTGTTAATCCGGGCCCCGACCGATCCGGCATGATATTTTGTGGTTTATTTGAAGTCATAGGATTGGATTGGGTAACTGCTTTTAGTCTAACCGCTATCCAAACAACCTTTCTGACATGGTAGGACGTGCAGGAACATAAGTTCCAGCCAGTATAGCTTGTTGGGTAACTGCGGTGTTCAAGCCCAACCACCACGTCAAGGTAGCAGCTTTCGGTCGGGAACCATTTAGTAATATGCGTGAGTTGAAAAATCTACTGACGGACATTTTTGATCAACTTTCAAACTACCGGTGAGAATATCTTGGAAATGTGAAGCGGAGATGTCATCAGAGATTAGTCTTTGCTACAAAGATATTTTATAGAATGCTACTTTTACTTTACAGATTCCGGATTAAGAGAAAATGTTATGCAAAAGGCTACGCTGAGAAATTCTGTACATTATAGAAACATTCTGTCCTGAAGAAAGCTTTTATTATTATTATTAAAATGTACACAATTTTATAAACTTTCCACTGGTAGGAAGTTTCACTCGTGACTAATATTCCCTTCAACATTTGAACTCCAACTTTTATCGTCATTCCCCTGACTAAATGCATAAGGATATAATGTAATCGAAAGTGAACTTCAAAAAATACTATGAACTAAGGTCAGTTTTGAGATGACTTGGCAATAATAATAATACTAGCCTAAACAACCAATCTCTAGATTAGAAATCAATAAATAGCATTACATGACAAAGCAACTAAGATTCAATGTCGTTGGAGAGTAACCGTGACAACATACGATTTGTTCATCGTGAAATTACTCACTGATATGTATTCATCAAGTGAAATTTTGTTGACCTCAAAACATTTTTTTCTCTTACTCTTTAGAAGACAGTGAAATTCGTTTTCTGTTCATGTTCATCTATCCTAGTTGGTAACGTTCTTATCTGATTACTGCTCACATATTATGATAAATATTTATCGTTGTGTGTTTTTTTCTTCTTTCCAGTGAGTGGTATTCATCTCTTGAATCATTTTAATGACTAAAGTCTGTGAATACTACTCACTGGAAACTAAAAACTGATGTTCACTGGCGACTGGCTCTATATTCAGGCAATTAGTTACCTAGGGTTCTAGTGGAAAGCTGTGACCAGTAGGGTACAGCAGGTTCAACCAGGTGAGATAGTAACTCATCGAAGAAGATATTTCGCGAAGTGGTCGTGCTATGTCATGAATCGGTAGAAGTTGAAATTCATGGACTGGCCATTGAATCGGGTCCCAGTGGCTGCTTAATGGTCTGTGAGCTTTCTCGTCTTGTAACCAGAAGGTTCTCGGTTTGAACCGTAGGGGTGGGTGCGCACTGATGAAGAGTCTGATACTAAGCTGGTGAAACAGTCTGCTGTTCAGTACTCCCTGGCAGGTTTCCTCCAGCTAACCAACCAACCAGCCAATCAAAATCCTTAAAAACCAATACTTAAAAGAGGTAAATTCTGAAGAGAATACAAATCAGCCTGCTTTGGACCAGATTACTTTAGGATTTCATTTTTTCTAGGCATCTGAATAAATTTCAGTGTAGATTCGTTACGAAGCAATACCATATAAAGATCATCTGTGATCAGGAAGCATTGAAAAGCTGTTTTGTCCTAGTTTAGATCTTTTCAACAATGTGTAACCACGACCCAAGCCTGGATTGGATCCGAAACCTTCAGGTTATTATGATATGAGGCACGTTGGCCATTCAACTATATCATGAATTAACCAAGTTAGAATTGTGACCCAAATGTCTGAATAGTCATAAAACTAGGCCCTATAGTCGGAATGTTCTGGGTCCAATCGCTGATGGGATCGTGGGTGATCACCGCTAGATAGAGTTCATCAAGAAACAGAATATCGTCTGGAGAACTACTATTCAGAACAGGAAAGCACTGAACAGTTGTGTTTCATTCAAGTGTTTTCCGGACTCTTCTAGTGAAGTTAAACAACTTGTTTTCGAACCCTTCGATATAGTAGGAATTCCCTAGGGTGGATTTCCTTAATGAAGATAAAGCTCAGTTAGGATTGTAGAGTATATTGAATTAGTTGTGTTCTCGGAGGAGCTGGTTCATTGTATTGCGAACGTTTCGTCATCCTTCTAGACAACATCTTCAGCGCAGGTTTTAGTATAAAATGAACGCACTTAAAAGAATGGACTGGGATATTGTCGAAATTTTAAATAGAGGAGACACCAGAAATACTACCAGGGAGCTCCCAAAAGCCTGGAACTCAAGTGAATCAGCCAGCAATTAACAAACACATAATTATAGACCGAATTCACCAGCTAATAAAAAGTAAATTACATAAGAAGAAAGTTGGAATTTCAAGTGAATAAAAACGATCAATATAGACGAGGATTTCAAAGCGAGGATCGGAAAAGCAAGACAAGCTTCCATTTCTCTTAAGTATGTGTGGAGGTCAACAGCACTCAGCATGAAAAATAAGATGCGTATTTTCAACTCCAATATGAAGTCAGTCAGTGCTACTATACGGATCAGAGACTTGGCACCGCGTCACGAAAGGTACTTCGAACAAACTACAAACTTTCATCAACAGCTGTCTTCCATCAATACTCAAGGTGAGATGGCCAGAAAAGATCAGCAACAGGAAGGAATCTCTGGGAGAAAATCAACCCAGAAGGAACCAACTGTGTAACAAAAATGTAGCAAGAAATGCAGGTGGATTGGCCATAATCTGAGAAGACAAACCATCATCAAGTGGCATCTATCACACGCCAGGCCATCGCTCCAGGGGAACCCGAATGGGAAGTGATGAGTTGTTCGTCAGTGTAAGGGTGACATGGAGAAGTTCATGTGAAAAGGAGATTACAGCGTGTGGGCAGACGTGGAGCGAGGTGATGAAAACGTTGGCAGAGAACCGAACGCAATGGAGACGCACGGCTAAAGTCCTATGTTCCTCTAAGAATTAAAGGAGACAATAATAATAATAGACTTAAACTAACAACCAGTCACGGCAGTGGTCACCAGGAGATGCAACTACATCATTATTCATGGAGAATTGAAATAAGTCAATTTTATACTAAAACCTGCTCAGAAAATGTTGTCTAGAAGGATGCAGACGAAAGCTTATCAATTAAATCAACCAGCTCCTCAGAGAACACAACTCATTCACTCAATGCCATTCACCTGAGCTACAAATCTTCTCTATTGTAAAGTATGTTACAGAGATTTTATAATAAATGCACATTAGTCCCTTATATGTTGTAATACAAAAAGGCAGATTTTGAGAACAAAAATTACGTTCACAGAAATTGATTTTTCAAATATAATATATCAGACTTACTCGAATGGGATTACTGTCCAAACTGTAAGGGAAAGAAATCAACAGAAAAGTGTTAGGATGGTGACTCTATTAATAATAATAATAATAATAATAAAGGCTGTATTCTGAACTGTACATTTATATACAGTGCAGAATTTTCAGGCTGGTTCTATCTACTCCCATATTCAACATCCTTCGACCCCCAGCATATTTGTTCCCTATACAAACAGACCATGTGGTATGTTGGGAAGTTGCATCAGCCGGCGCCAACGGGTTGATCGCTGACGAAATCTCAGCACGGATACTGAAGGCTAGTTTCTCATATGCCAGTTTAAGCCGTCTCTGGCTTAGTAGACGTGATATCCGGCTGGCTATCGATCAAAGGGCAGGTGTACTGCTCAGCAGTCCACTCCAACCTCCTTCATGGCAGTGAGACCTGGTCGTTGAGAGTGGAAGACATGGAAAGTCAGTCTAGCTATCTTTGATCATAGGTGCCTGTTTTATATCTCCCGTGTGAAGTGGGATAAAAGGGTGAGGAATATTGAGGTTAGGCATTGGTCGAGTGCTAGGTGGGTGGGAGGGGAAATCAATCGATGACGAGGTTGTGAAGCTACATCGGCTGAGACGGTTAGGACATGTGTTACATAAGAAGGTGGATACTACACATCTCTGGAATCCTTGAAACTGTCAATGATATGGTTCAAAATCGGCCTCACCTAATCTTTGGGATCATCTCCGGAGATTCATTAAATCCTTACTATTCTTCTTCGTGGGATTATTTGTTCGCCCAAGCATTTTCGTTCATTGTAGTTTTGTTTTTGTTTTTAATCTGGGACTTTTGTGAAATGTGACAACTTAAACTGCGACACTTTTGTGCACAGCATTACATTGAAAGTTAAGGTCAGTTCTTCCAGTAATTCCCTAGGTATTGTTGAGAGAAAAATACCCTTTTCAGAGAGTATCACTGCATCAAGGTTTAGAATTCTTAAACCTAAGTGTTACCGCCAGTTAGTCTTCTTAACTCTTAACTGTAGTTGTGTCCGTATGTATGTATTCTGTCCCCACGCAAAGACTGTACTTTGAGGATTATTATTGAAAGATAATGAGGACGGGAAAACATTAAGAAGTCTTCATTAATAAACACGGGCAATACAATAGAAAACCGAGTCTAGAATATCAGTCGTTATTCATGAGTAATTTTCAATTGTTGGATAGTATGGATTCGACTGACTTCACGTTTGAGCACGGACCGACTTCAGTTAGAAAACCAGCTGTTTCGTCCGTATTCGGGACTCTTCTTCAGTACACACTGCTTCGCCCGTCGGAGATCGGACCCAGAGTCGTCTGGCTACAATGAGAACTTGTTGACCATTCACCCATTGGGATCGAATCCAGTAGCCGGCGCATCAACTCAAAATGGTTCCAAATGACGATATTTGGCCCAACCACCAGCCATTGGCATCAACGAGCATTATTTGTCCTCTGGTCACGACTTCTCACTAGCACTCCAGGTAACATCCTGTATAACGGCCAGCCGCTAGTGAGAATCAAATCAATTATCAAGTTTTTGGTTTGCATGGATTTGATTGATTAGTCGAAATAAGTTAGAGAACCATTGGAAAACCTGGGAGTATTGGACAAATGTTTCGTCCTAGTTTTGGACTCCACATTAGTATGAATCCAACGAGATTCAAACCAAGGCCCACTTTCGAACCGTTTAGCCACTGGGAGGGACCCAACTCAATGGCCCATGAATTCCAACTTCTGCCAATTTGCGATATATACATATATATGTGCTGAAGAATCCAAGCATGGGACGAAACAGTTGTCCAGTACTTCCTAGTTCTTTCAATCGTTCTCCAGATGATTTCGACTCGTAGTTTCACCTGTAACCAATCAAATCCTTGTAAAACTAACATTCGATCAAGTTTAGTTTACATGTGAAGGACTTTGCTAATCTTCTAAACATTTTTGTTAATTGATAATAAACAATTATAATTTTATATATAGCTACTGTCATTATAAATGAAACGAAATGAAATGACCTCATTTGGAAATAATTTTTTGATTGATGTATCTACGTTTATAATATACACATGTGCATATACGACAGAGTATTTATTAATCGTTTTACTCTTAAGAAGGAAGCAGCTATCAGGTATTACGTAAGAACATAAAGTACACACTGACATATACATACACACACACAGGCTAATTGTGCTACACATCCGATAGACAATAATCTTAGAGAAAAACGACGTTATTAGTAAAATGAAATCATATAGTTTACGTCATTAGGAGTATTATTACTATTATTATTATTAATATAAACATTATTGATGACATCTGGTAATATTGGCAGTAATTAGAGTAGCAGTAGTTGAGATTCATGGGCCCTTCAGCTTTTTAGTACATATGTGCCAATTTGCGTGTGTCTGCTTGTGCGTGCATGTATCAACTTTCGAAGATATTTTCACGAAAAACGAAGTGATCAGAAATCTTGATACTAGTAGTAGTAGTAGTAGTATAGATGGACAGTACAGATAAGCAGATAGACAGATAGGTAGGTAGGTAGGTAGGTTGCTAGGTAGGTAGATAGATAGATAGATAGATGTACTACTTTTTATGTGTACTACTTATAATACAACGCTTCAAATTGTCTAAGAGAATGCCAAACAAACGCATATAAAAGGTTTTTTGAAAATTCAATGAATTCATATAAACACATCCGTATTTGTTTCTGCCTGCCTATATATGATGTGAAAAGATGATTGTTCCCTTTGAGACTATGAATTACTATTGTTTATATTAAGTAGTATATATACATACAAATTGTATGAGAGGTATATATTTAATTATATGTGCGTTTAGAGCGATGATTCCATTCAAATGGTGTTTGTTGATGACAAAACTCTTGATAAAGGAAGAATGACTACTACAAAGAGTTACACACTCTCCTGATACCAACACCCACCCACACACACACACACACACGTACAGATAGACAGTCAGACAGTAGTCTGATGTGCATATCTCTACAGTGATAATACATTTAAATTTAAATTGTTAACATCACACTTGTCTGATACTGATTGTTTATACAAATGTTTATATTTAAAGACTAGTAAATAAATAGTTTGAAAATTGCACCTTATTAGCTAATTAATTTGCGTTTTGCAAGTTTTATATGCCTAAGAAAGATTGAACACATTTATATAATGTGGTTACTACTTTGTGTGTCTGTGAGCATTGTTTATTGATAAGAATATGAATCTAAAACCAAAACAGTCCAAGTTACCAACAGTTCCAAAGAAAGCCTTGTTCTTACAGATGCAGTTCCTAGGAGACAATACAAGTGAGATACTAACACATCGCCTCAGAAATGCGGTTAAAAGAGCATTCCCTGCTGCTCAATTACGCTGTATCTTTAAAACCACTCCTCTTCTGCGTTCGGGAATAAAAGAAAAACTGTCTAATTTCGCTTCTTCCATGTGTATATACCAGTTACATAGGCTGTACAATTAGGCGTGTTCCTCGTCGAATTTCCGAACATCACCCTGCACAGTGGTTGGTTAAGCAAAGGTCAAACAAAATCTATTCGCAGCGCTATTCTGGCGCATCTTGTGGAGACAGAACACAAGATTGACGTTAATCATGCTTTCAGAGTCATTAACCGCATACCTACGAATCTCAATTTCGCTTTAAGAGTTCGACTTCTAAATATTGCTGAGGCTGTGGGGATTCATATTAATAAGCCTAATTTATGCACCCATTATCATTACCTTGGCCATCCAGGTTTGAATAATCCAGAATTTTATTTTGAAATTTCCCTAATTTTAGTTGATATTCTATTCGCTGTTATATCTTTATTATTATTATTATTATAATTTAAGCATCTTTAATGAACTGTAATAGCATTGAACATACTTTATAAATTGATATTATTTATAAACGCTAATATTGATATTAACTACTAATTTAAAATATTCTGTGTATATAAACATACAGATATATAATTGTAGAGCCTGGAAGAGGAATTTATCGAAAAGAATATTCTTTGCTCGATTATTTTGTGTTTTATAAAATTATTTAGTGTGGTGGTGGTGACGAGTAGTGGAGTCCAGGACGCGATTTTCATCCTATTCGAGACTTTTGATGTATTGAATAACGACGCTTTTGGAGTATGAAACGAAGGCTTCTCACTTTGAGTCCCAATGGGGACATCCCCACAACTCGGTGGGGCTGAAATCCTGGCATCCTGGATTCCACTGCCACCACACAAACACACACACAACGGATAAGACTAATCGCTATGGGTTTTCGCGCGCATAGATATCCCATTTGCGTAAAAAATGTCGAAAGGACACTTTTAAAAAACAGGCAAAGATAACCTCTTAATTTGATTACAGCATTCTACACACTGAACAGATATAATAAAAAATTAACTGAGGAAATTCAAATTGTAATTAACCGCCCTTTTTTTCTATCCGTTAAATTTTGGCGCTAACTTACATTGATATACTTAAACAAAATTATTTTCTATTTATTGATATATATATATATTACACAAAGATATAACAATCGAATATGCATATATATATGTATATATTAGTGCATTTAATGCAAACAGACAAAAGGAGACAAGCAATTGCGTAAAAGATTGTGAATAATAATAATAATAATAATAACTACAATTATTATTACAATTATTGATATTTGAACATTTCATTTATCTTGTGGACTATGAACTCTATTTCATTTAGAGTATCTTTTTTTACATACAGAAAGAAAATTTCTGTCTCCTTTCTTTTATCTCTGTTCTACACGTATATACAGTAAACTATATATATATATATATATATATATATATATATTTAAAAAAAACTAACTTGTGTAGTTAGTTAGTTAGTTACATTTTTATACACACTAAATGATATGTATGTATGCAGTAAAGCAAACAGTTTTTGCTTAGTTTGTATAACCCGCTAAATCCAAGTGAAGTGAAGTGAAATATAGAAGCATTATAACTAAATAACGACGTAC